CACAAGGAGTCGCATTACCAGACAGGAAAGTTGACACTAAACGCTGGAGCCCGGGCTTTGTTCCCGTGTTTGTCTCAGCAGAGGGTAGCAGGTCGGATAGCGGGGAGGCCGCTGGGGTGTCGGGGAGTAGTGTAACAGACTGGGAACAATTAGATCACTGTGGCACCCCGGGAGTCGTCTTTTTTTTTTTTTTGGGGTGCAGCACAATATGATCTCTGTCTGTCTTGTCTGTCCAGAAATGGGGGTCTTACCTTCACGAGGTGCTGCTGTCTGCGCTGTTGTTGATTACGCCTGATGGTTTCAAGGACAGTGTTTTCTGAATTGTTTCTATAGTTAAAATCTCCACTCTTTTAGTTAAAATCTGCACACCTGCTCGCAGTGTTCTGGTATCACGCAGTCAAACTGAGGTGCTCACATGGAAGGGTTAATTGTTGAATTCTCCATTAGCTTGTTTATAAGTGAGACCTTAATAAGTAAAGCAAAGGCCCTTTTACGCCACTGGCGCGGGCGCATCAAGTTACAATGTAATATTTGGTTTAATAGACCAAGGTGATGTGGTTAGCATCACACCGACTGCCTTTACTTTTCGTGAAGTTACCTAATGCCCTTTTTAGGTTGAGTCGATCTATGAGCAAAGTCTGTTTTAGAGAACATTCAACCTTAGTGCAGATTTGAATCCAAAACCATCAGGTCGGCAGCGGGCCTCTGACCACTATACTACCACATGTCATTCTTGGACTTCTTTTCTTGATCAGTATCGAGCATGGAAGCTGGTCGCTTTTGTGATGACCCAGGATGCCTCACTGGTAGAGTGCACTAATGCTAGAGAAAACAGCTGGAGACTCCGGGCATTGTCTCCTTCTCTGTCGGAGATGCTAGTTGACCTACCTGCCTTAATTCAAGCAGAGCAGCTCTGTGTCTGCCAGTGTCCATTAGCTACTTTTTTCTTTCCAGTAGCTAGAACAAGGCTGTTCAGCTAAGTTTACTCAGGTGGAGAACTTAGCGGGCCATAGACCCGGGTCCCAGCGCAGAAAGATCATTAATACAAGACGGTTGGCAGTGATTCTCGAGCCACTTACTAGACCTCCGCGAGCCAGATTTCCCGTGCCGCAGCCAGTTGAATTGCCCGGATCTAGAACATTAACATCCTATAGTGTTTATTTTACAGCTGTTTTGTCAGTCTAGCCCCGAACTGTACAAGTTAGGTACAGACATGGCCTCTGCTTACCTTCATCATCGTCATGATATAGCATTCTGTTTATAGAACGTCGCTCTTATCGTGGCATGCTAGAAAACCCCTAGTCCCTCGCCAACGTTTCTGCCTTTTTTTTAATACCCTGGGTTTCATAATATCTCACAAAGGAAAGTCGACCGGCGTGGTGTTGACTTGATTACCCATGGAGTGTCGGCTGATCTGTACAAAAATATGGGTATAGCATCATATGCCCTGCGAATATAGTCTGAAAAAGATAATAAAGCTGACATGGCACAGTGGTTAGTTCTCCTCCAAGTCAATGATTTTTCTTCAATTACAGGACGTCGCAGAACCAACACCAGCTTGGGGGGGGGGGGGGGAGGGACTGTTGTGGTTTTTCTAGGCAGATTTACGTTGATTAGTTTGCCACTGCCTCTAAACGGTGGGCTGTCGATACCACTGGCGACACTAACGCAGTGCAGTCTGCTGCCAAATGGCCTGCAGTTGGGATCGTACCCGGTAACCTGTCATTGCGAAACTCGTTCGCAACGCCTAAGGCACAGGCGCCGATCTTCCGTAAGAATGACCTTTTTCAGTCAGTTTTGGGTTTTATGATGCTAGGCTTATAGACCAATCAGCACGGGCTGGATGATGTGGGCAGCATTACACTAGACGCCTTTGCTTTCCAGAACTTGACCTGCTACCCGTTTTAGACTGAATCGACCTGGGAACCAAGGTTGTGTTTGTGTGTGTGTTTTTTTTATTTATTTTTTTGAAATTCGTCTAGGTACGGATGTGAAAGTATTCAGTTTTAGGGGAAAAGTCCCACCAGCACATTCCTATCTAGTCATGAACAAGAATGCTTGCCTTGAGATAGATATGAAAACGCTTTTGTGAGAATTATACACACAAGAATCTGAACAGATAGCAACAACTATTTAAAAAAAAATGACGTACTGTATTGCTATTCCCCCCCCCCCCACCCTCTTCTCACTTCACGCCCCATTTGTGTGAATTCATTTGGCCTTGTGACCTTTGATATTAAATACGACGAAGGGCTGTTGTACGTCGGCCGTGTTGATTTCTCTAGCGGAGATTCCGTGCCACTTTCCTGGTTGCCAGCTCTTGACAGTGTATTCATACGCCGTTTTGACCCTGTGTCAATAAAGAAGTATTTACACAGAAAGAAAAAACTGGGTACTAACTGTAATACTGAGAGACTAGGGATGCCTGGTAGAGTACAGGCACTGTTGAAATTCTAGGGATGTCTAAATATTGAGAGACTTGTGATGCCTGGTAGAGTCCAAGCAGTGTTATAGTTCTAGGGATAGTCTAAATACTGAGAGACTAGGCCTATCTGGTAGAGTTCAGGCAGTGTTAGAGTTCTAGGGATAGTCTAAATACTCAGAGACTATGGATGTCAGGTAGAGTCCAAGCAGTGTTGGAGTTCTAGGGATAGTCTAAATACTGAGAGACTAGGATGTCTGAAGTCCAGACAGGGTTTGAGTTCCAGGGATAATCTAAATACTGAGAGACTAGTGATGGCTGGTAGAGTCCAGGAACTGTTGAAGTTACAGGGATAGTCTAATACTGCAGGACGAGAGAATTAGGACTGCTGCAGAAAATAGAATCCTCCAAGTTAGCAGTACCCACTTATATGTGAAGACAGTTTTGAATTATACTCGAAAGTATAACAAAACACATTGACAAGACACATGTGCATTTGGAGACAATAAGAAATATATGCAATTAAGTCTAAAACAAATGTAAATATTAAGAAAGTTAGGCAAGATGGACTTCATGGTGTATAGCAAGACACATGTACATATATTGGCGGTGGAGAAATATGCAGTTGATACAGGATAACAACACTAGCTCAAATACATGTATTGTTAGTTTGAAAGTAGTTTTTTTTTAAAATAAGGTTTGTGTCCACCATAGAGTCCAGTGACATTGATCATGTATAATAGGAAGATCTTGGTCAGTTAGTTAGTCGATTCGGAACTTAAAATATGTCAGGCCAGTTCAATTAAGTTTATTCAGGGGCCGCAACTTTCAGAATGGGGGTCGTCACGGGCCCTGAGACCCAGCATAGGAAGATCATTTACACAGTACAGTTAGCAATGGTCCCATGTGCCGCGTACTGGACCTCCGCGGGCCGCCAGTTGAATAACCCTGACATGTGTAGACGCAGCAGCAGATACGCGGTTGTATAGAAGAATGAATTATAAACCTCATGGACAGAAACTGGCTCATGGGGAGAACTGATTTCCCGTATCAGAAGGAGACTGTTCTTTGATTATGTCACGAGAAAGAGAAAACTGATGTACATTGTGACAAAGGGAAGGTTGGAGGGGTAAAGAAGCAGAGGCGGAGACCGAGAGAGAAGCTGCCTGACAGTTTGACATCATGGTATGGAAAATATCTGGCTCAAAAGAAACTGAAAGTACTCAGGACAGAAGGTTGTAAATAGATATGACTACAGACTCAGCAAGTCATTGACTAGAAAAGGGATAGGAAATGTATAAGACTGCATCCATGAGCACTACTGGCCAGCATGAAATGGAACATTATAACAGCACATACGAACAGTGTAGACAGTTGAGAAATATAACACTGACAAAAGTATGACATAATTGAGCCACGCTGTGTACACTTTCCATGCCCATCTTACCAGTCCATACTTGCCATTAGCTCAGTATTTCCCCACACAGTTCAGCGTTTCTTCTGTTGATTTGCTTCGTACATTTCATTTGTCTTGTCCGTAGGATGCTGAAGAGTGGCCCTGCAACTGAAGCAGTTTGAAGTAATTCATATATTAAAAAAAAAAAAAAAAAACTCCTGGCCATTCCTTCATTTCTGCCCACTATGTCGTCAAAATTCTTCTTAGTTTGTGGCGGATGCTGTAGCCAAGAAGCTTTAAATCCACAGGCTCACGACGCCTTAGTCCCACACCGCCCTAAGAGTGATACCGTAATTGTTCTGGTATAAGACGCCCCCATGTATCTTGTATAAGACACCCCATGTATAAGACGCCGTATGTATCATGTATAAGACGCCCCCATGTATCTTGTATAAGACAACCCATGTATAAGACGCCGTATGTATCATGTATAAGACGCCACCATGTATCTTGTATAAGACACCCCATGTATAAGACGCCGTATGTATCATGTATAAGACGCCACCATGTATCATGCCCAGGACGCCTCCATCCATGTATCATGTCTAAGACATCCCATGTATCATGTATAAGACGCCACCATGTATCATGCCCAGGACGCCTGCCCCCATGTATCATGTATAAGACGCCACCATGTATCATGCCTAGGACGCCTCCATCCATGTATCATGTATAAGACGCCTTCATGTATCATGTATAAGACGCCACCATGTATCATGCTTAGGACGCCTCCATCCATGTATCATGTATAAGACGCCCCTATGTATCATTATAAGACGCTCCCATGTAACATGTTATAAGACGCCCTCAGTATATTAAGATGTAAATATTTCAAACACATTCCGTATATCAGACTACCCTAATTTACAAATAAAAACAACAATTTGTAAAAAAAAAAAAAAGAAAATATACCGTAAGGGCAGGCAGAAAAGACAGTTATAAACCTTTATTGTCCAATACTTAGATCCAAATAAATGCTTCCTTCCTACAACAGAACAGGCCTTATCTAACCTTTTAGCGGGCAGAGTTGATGTTGTATCTCCTCGTGTTTAGCCTTTTTCTGTTGTTTGACCATGAACATCAAATGTAACTTTTTTTGGTTTCTGTTACCTGTCTTTCCAGGGATTTGAGCAGGAATAACATCCATCTGATCAATGGCTCGGTGTTCAGGGATCTCACCAGTCTACAGACATTGTAAGTATACAGCCGAGCGTTTGTGCTGTCATTGCACCTTATCTTTATCTCTGTGTTCTAACCAAATAGTGTGTTTGTGTTTTATGACGGTCACTTATATCGTATGTGTTTCTCTCTTCTTTTTCCTTGTCTGTCAGCTTATGTTATGCCTTTTTATATACTTGTTGTTTGTTTGTTTTTGTCGATGATATTTACTATCTCTTAATTGATTTATGAATGAAAATAGCGTTTCAGAGGTGTGAGGCCAGAAGGATAGAATGATAGATGGTTTTTTTTTTTTGCCCGCTTGCTCACGCCTTTCCCACTCACTCCTCCCACGCCGCGGTGTCCGTGGCTGAGGCGTTGCGAGTCCGACTCGTAATCCAACGTACTGCGATCGAAACCCACTGCTGGCTGCGTGGATTTTTATCCTGGTATGGGACGTCGCAGGTCGACCCACTCTCAAATGGGTACCAGGATGGCGGTCCTGGTGAAGTAGAGACGGCCGGCGTGATGCTGACCACATTACCCACCGAGTGCCGATTGGTCAGTAAAATTATGGGTGCTCTTCCCATATGCCCGATACACCTAAAGGCGTGAAAAGGGATCTTTAATTTTAGAGAGTCGCCGTGGCCGAGCAGCTAGACGCTCCCACGTTTACGTTTACTCTAGTAAATTATACTGGTTATTGCTATGTCTTGTCTGTGTCAACTCTCTCTGTCTTTCTTTGTCATTAAGTTTTGCTTTTTTTTTTTTAACGCTGGTAAAGACTTTGGTCGATAAGATCGTTTTGGTTTTTATGTGTATTTTCCTTCAATGATCTTCTCCGTAAACACTCACAGAAACCAGACTCTCCATTTCCGATTGTTGTGTTGTTAATTAATATCTATTAGGCCGCCCCTGCTCTGAAAATACGTAACTCTAGAAAACAGTTAGTGAATAAACGAGTGAATGCCACTGTCTTCAACGTTTGCCCTGAAACGTTTTATTAGTCGTTCTATTTGTTGCTGACCTCACGGGACTTACTTGGTGAAGCAGCCTTCTTGTGGTTGCTTTTGTCTCTGCTCTCTCGCAGTTTATCTTATCTGTCCTGCGACAGTGTGTGACAGAGATTGTTTTCCGTTACCGATGTTGACCTCTGTTGGAGATAGCAACATAAACCAAGTGCCCGCGGGGGGGGGGGGGGGGGGGCTGTTATAACATGTGCCCTTCTGAAATGCGGGGAGCCCTGGCTAGCCCAATGTTTTGTATTATAGGTTCCGGACCCTATTATGGGAGTCTCTAAAGATGTTCCCTTCGAGGTCTGAGAGGCAAGGAGCCGACAACAGTCTGCATACATGTTAGCCAGGTGTGTAATACGGATGTGCACGCAAAACCAAGTCTTTATAGGGGGACACAACTTTTCTGCTGGAGTTTACAGCCTGTGAGCGCGAAGAAGAAGAAGACTGTAATACTGCTCTCTTCCGCCTCATTCACGGATTGCAGCCTGAGAGTTGCACCCATTCATTTAAATAGCCTATAATCGGTTTCCAAGCCAACAGGAAGAGTCCCAGAATCTCCCTTCCACCATATTAAACAGGTAGATTGGGGCACACTGCGGTTACGGAGTAACCTGTTGTATTGTCTCACTCATTTCGGCGGCTATCTTCCGAATAACGGTCCCAAATAATTCATACATGTATAGTTAATATAATGATTGTCTGTGGTGATATCAATCAGGGACAGCATATTATCTTTGGACTGCCCAGATTCGTATACTGTGTTGGTTGTTTATTACTGAAAGAGTTAACCAGTAACTTGGTTCCCTTTTCTTGAACTCCCCCCCCCCCCTTCCCCCCCCCTCAGATTGTAGTTCTCCCCCTAGGCCGACAACTGTATTTCCATCATCTCTAAACGGTCGGAACGTTAGACTGGTTAGTATTTCACCAGTTGAAAAGAAATATCCGCTGCCGTTTCCCCTTTACCTAAAGTTGGATCGCACCTAATTCGATTATATTCTTACAACAGTGTACTGACTGCTGTGCACTCGTAACCCATAAACGATACGAGGCATTTATCAATGTCTTTGCCCTTGAACTGAAGTTGTATTCCGGGGATCAGACAAAAAGCACGTGCGGACTACAGTATCTGGCCACTAAAGGAAATTGTCAGCGATAAGCCCAGCGTGCTGTAGTCAAGAAGTGCAACAACTTGTCACTTCATCCTCGGCCCCAGGCAGATACAGTTATCTCTGCTGCACCGTTTTTGAACGTCTACCAGTAAGATGCGGTCACACCACTGTTTTTTTTTTTTTTTAATTTCCCCAAAACCAGAGGTTCCTAGCCTCCCTGCTGATGTCTCCCCACGCACGTGCTGACTTGGTTTCAGTCTCAATCATAACAGATCCGCCAGATAGCATATAACAAAACACCAGAAAAAAACTAAAAGAGACAAGGAGCCGCTGTGATGTAGCGCTAGACGTATACCTGCGTGGTTGCGAAAATCTTGGGTTCAGATCCAGGCGGGGCCGAACATTTTCTCTAGAAATAACCGTGGCTGCCAGGTTGACCCAGCCTTAAATGGGTGCCTCCAGGGACAGTTCTGTGAAGTAAAGGCCCCGGTGTGATGTTGAGCACATCAGAGTCTAGCCCTGCAAGCCAAATACGCCTGCAAATGAAAAGAGAGGAGTTGCTGAATGAAGGTTAAAAAACATTTAAAAGATATGACTGGTTTAAAAACCACACTGCATGTAAAAGGTGAAGTAACAGATCAAGATTAAACAGCTATACAAGTGGGAGGACAAAATCAAGAGATGGAAGGATAAGAATCTGAGAGACAGAGGGAGAACGAACGAACAAACATTTTTTTTTTTAATGGTTAAGAATTGGGCACCCAGGCCCGTCTAACATTATGCCCTTCAAGGCCTCCCTTCGTTCTTACATCATTTCATTCACACATCACGTAATAGTAAACATTATCAATAGTAAACAGTTAGCAATAGAGAGAGAGAGAGAGAGAGAGAGAGAGAGAGAGAGAGAGAGAGAGAGAGAGAGAGAGAAAGAGCAACCAAGACAAGAGACGAAACGTGATGGGGATTCATTGCAGCCAAACTTCACTGTGGAGACGCAGCCTAAATGATTGCTACCAGATTCAAAAAACATTAAGCATTTTAGATTCGGGAAGTGCTTAGCATGGCAATCGGTAACACATTGCCTCAAAATCGTGTATTCGAATTTGTCAAAGAATCTGGGGTGTACTTTTACATTGGACAGTACAGACACCACCGACTGGCGTCACCAACAGCCTGGACCATAACCCGCCTGACAGCAACAGTCGCGCAAATATGGGCATAAATCTACCCCAGCCTTGTTTATAGCGCCAACGTTTGGCATGTAAACCCAAGCATAAGAGCGGGAACGGTCCCGTTATCTCGCTGCGGAGTCCGCCCTATTCTTGTTGTGCACTTTCCACGGACACCTTGGAGTACGGTTACCACAGCAGTACTACTACTGCTACGGGACTGCGTAATCTGTGCCTCTGCTAATGCTGACGCATTAATACGTTGGGGGTGCAGATCTTTAACACTTAATCTTTAAGAATTAACGCAGTTACAACCAGAAGCTCCCCTTGGCTTGTCTTTGTACCTAGTGTTGATTTACGTTTAATCACTGTGTGGTTTATAATCGCCTGTATGGTTGACTCCGGTGAGTTGACGTCCGGGCCATAGGAAAAAAGGGGCTCTCGTCTGATACAGTTTATAGAGATTTTCTTCCCGATTAAGTACTACTAAAAACATCTCCCCAGTCCCCATCCACCAGCAATCCCGTCGACCATTTACCAAACTAGCAACCGTCTGATTTTGCACCAGGCTGTAAATCTTCTGATCCAGTACCAAATTAGCAAATCACTAGGAATCTGCCGATCCATTATCACTAGGAATCTGTCGATCCATTAACAGATTATCAAATGTGCTGACCCAGGACCACATCAAATCTGCCGACCCAGTACCAAACGGACCACCTCCCGACCCAGTACCAAACGGACTACCTCCCGACCCAGTACCAGAACGGACCACCTCCCGACCCACCCAGTATCAAACGGACCACCTCCCGATCCAGTACCAAACGGACCACCTCCCGACCCAGTACCACACTAGAATGAAGCAGGAATTTCGGGTCGCTAAATTCCATATAAAAGTAGTGCAGTAATTCTTCGCCACACAGAAAGATGAGTAAAGTGGCCCCTTCCGAGGCTTCGCTGAAGATCTCGGGGATATGGTGCTGTACCAACTCTTGCATCTCTAGATGATGCGTACCCTTAATTAAAGTGTAGTTACTGCACACCTTGAAAAGAGCACTCGAATTGTATGTTACTGCATTTCAAAAATAGAAGGGATATAACTGTCTCCTATCAATTTCTAAGCAATTTCATTTTAACCGTCAAATACGGAACTGATTACGAATAAATTATGAAAATGTGGTGCAGACGAGAGCGGGTGATTTTCAAAATAGAGTCGGTGCTCCAGTGCCCGTGGCAGGGCTAGACCAGTCGGTGCTCCAGTGCCCGTGACAGGGCTAGACCAGTCGGTGCTCCAGTGCCCGTGACAGGGCTAGACCAGTCGGTGCTCAGCGGATGATGTAATATCACGCTAAGTGCATTTACTGCCCAGAGTATTTCGCGGTGCCAATGTTTAGGGATGGTTGGTCGGACAGCAAGCAACATAAAACTCTGTTCTTTGCGGATTGGAGTTCAAAACCTTTGAACCTCTGCCTGGTTTACTTTTTAATATATAGGTTGTACGTAATTGCACCACAGTGTTGTCTACGTGACAGATTAACACATGTTTCTTCTTAGCGCTCATCGGATTTAAACTGCAGCGGAATGTTGTGGACGTTCATCCGCTTCTAGAATTGAGTTTACAGATCTTGTTTGTGCAGACTGATGAGTCCTCGCCTTTAGGAAAATGCAATCCGGCTTCGAAGGAAACACCCATAATTAGTCGCTTTTACGCAATGCTCGTTAAGGAGGCCTGATTTTTTTTTTTTCGTTTCCCAAATTGGGGCCACGAGATCCACAAATGGAATATATTGGTAATATTTTAAATATCGCAATATTATCTGCGTGAGAGACTACAGTGTTTTATGTTCTAAGACACAACAATATGGTCTACACGAGAGACTGCAGCGTATTGTTTGGTTGTGTATTTTAATAGCACAATAATGTCTGTGTTTATGAAAGCTTTCTCTGCCATCCACCATCCTCTCTTCCACTCCACAAGGAAAATATTTAGCGCTCAGAATAGCCCAACCATTTGGAATAGGCCCCCGACAATTTGCACGCAGATTTGCATTCCGAGCGGCATGAAAGCGAATGAAAGAAGCCACGGAGAATAGAAAATAAACGGGCAATTCGAAACAGTCGGGAAATAAAAGCAATTTATATGGGGATAAAAGACATTGAAGAGGAATGTGGAAGAATGAGATAAAGGACAGGAAAGATCTGGAAGGAAAATTGATAATATTATGATGTGCTTGCGTCTGAGTGTTTGAATTCTGTATTAAAAAAAAGTCATTGCAGACAGCCGAGCGGAAATTTGAAGATGTGTTACCCTGCTTATTCGTCTTTATAACAGCGCGAGGTTAAGATTGTCCATAGAAATAATAACATGCCAGATAAGAGGCACACCAGATGGAGTGAATTAACCAACATACAAGGAATTTGAGATCTTTGTGATGCGGCTTGTAAATTGAGTTCAGATCAGTTACCATCTTTCATTTGACTGCAACGAATCTACACTATTCTGCTTCTCGTCAGGTTAGCCCGACCCACACTCCTCATCGCTCATTGTTACGGTATGGTTTGGTGGTTTCTTCCCAATAACGTTGTTGTTGTCCTCTTGCTGTCTTCTCTGTACTCTTTCGGACTGATGTGGATCTCACCTCTTGTGTGCCTTACATTTATGTTACAAGAGTGAAGGAAAGTGCTGTTGTCCTGGCCTGAAGTCGTATTGTGCATATAAGGCTGGGCCTATAATTTATAGAACCAATCGGTACTTGGTGGGTGATGTGGTCAGCAGCACACCGGTCGCCTTACCTACAAGGACTGCACCCGGGAGCCAAGGTCATTTGTTAAAGGGGGGGGGGGGGGCTCTATCATGACCCGAACCCACGACTTTCTCTGATCCACAAGCGAGCTTCTAGCTGCTACATACACCTCGGCCACCCCACCCCTGTTAATCATAGCTGGGGGAAATCCTTTTTCAGGCATCGGACATATGGTGCTAGACATTTGAATAGAGCAGTCTGTGCTCGGTGGATGATACCAACATGACACCGGCCACCTTTACTTTCCAGGATATTACCTGGTACCCATTTAAGGCTAGCTGACCTCAGAAGCCAGTGCCAGTTTTGAAAGAGAAAACGTCCTACTAGATCAGGGCTATTCAACTGGCGGTCCGCGGGCTAGATCTGGCCCGCCAAGGCCCAGCAAGTGGCTAGCGGATCACTGCTAGTTGTATTGTATTTATGGCCTTTCTGTGCTGGGGCTGGGGCTTCTGGTCCCTGACGATGCCAATTTTTGAACATTTTGGCCCTTGAGTCAACTTAGTTGTACTAGATGCTGATTTAAATCCAAGACCCTCGAACAGACAGGCGAGCGTCTAGCTACTACGCCACCGCGGGTCCCAAATAAAATAAGTAGCAATTTTCTTTTTTTTTTTCTCAAACAAATACTGTGTGTGTATGTGTGTGTTCTCATCCACTGCTGCAAACAAACTGGCCATTATAATAGGTAAGTTGCGTATCCTTTACAGGACGTTGCAGAACCAACTCCAACAGCCCCTGGCTGTTGTGTGGGTTTTCTGGGCAAATGTACGCCCAGTAGTTTGCCATTGCTTTTTGGACGGTCGGATTTCTTGATACCACTGTCAAAACCAACACAAGGCGCATAGCCCGCAGCTGGGATCGAACCCGGTGTCACATATCACTCCTGTCGCGTGCCTAATGTAAGGATTCCTCCTTCAGAACCAACAGCACTCAGAGATAATTATGTTGAGTCGTTTGGCTCGTATTGGTCTAAGGGATTCCCCGTGGCCAATATACGATCAACTTATCTCTGGAGTAGGGCAACTCAAGTATTGGCACTACAAAATATGTCAGTATATATACATATAATATTTCTAGGCACACTTGGCTGGACACCCCCACTACTTACTAAAGAAAGCCCCCAGGTTATGATAGTTCATTATCATAACCATGTTAACACATATAATGAAGATACACATACATACACAACTGCTAAACACTTAAAAAGGTGAAATAGAGACACCTAAGTCAGCCATGAAAATGAATGTATGTAATCAATATAAATTAGCTATATAAAAGTGAGACAAATGCCAGATCTCAGGATATCATGTCCAAATCACAACTATACTACACAGACAGAAGGTCTTGGAGATGACATCTTCTCATCACTGGACAATCTAGGAGCTGTGAGGAACACAACATCATGCGAAGCATCAGACTTATCTTCTCTTCTTTCTGTCTATGATGCCTCCCTCAGCTCCGGATGATTCGACTGTCTTTGACCCTGGGAATTCTGCTCCACTGGATCAAGTAGTAAGAGTACTTCACTATACAGCAACTGTACCGGTATTTAGCAAGTCTCTATCACCAGTAAGGAACACAATGTCTTTGAGCCACATTAAGCTCTAGCACTGGTAGCTGTTTGAGGCACCATCTCCCCCAGGTTGGAGATGTCAGGAACCTTCACAGGTGTTAGCTGGTGGGCAACAAGTTGTTTCTGGTGGCTTGATAGTTGGTGGATGTTGGTGGGACTGTGAATCTTCTGCCAGCTCTTCAGAAAATATACATCCCAAGCATATGTAAAAACTGAGACATTTCCAGATTGCCTTGAAAAGTGAAAGTTATACAGGCACAGATTAACACATCTGGACTCTTGAGAAGCTGGCAAGGAGAATAGCGTCGCTTAGACACTTCAGGCGTTGGTACAAAAGAAGTTCCGTGTATACTGGGGCAAGGAGTAAATCGGTTTCCAAGAAACCTCAAATAACTCCCTAAATATATCTCCAAGAGATATACATTTAAAAGTGGAGTTTAGTTAAAGTAACCAGAAAAGGCAGACATAATAATGTTGTCCAATACAGGCCTATATATATAGATATAAGGGACTATATATTTCTGGGCGAGTCCAAGTTTGAATTATGTGCAGAGTACAGGTAAGGCAGGTTATCAGCCTTACAGACCGATGCGTAATGGCTATCATTTCACGACACCCGGCATCCCGGGGCGTTCGCATCTACTTAGCCACAGAGCCGACGGCCATTATAAGCAGACAGTTCCTTATGTAGGCTACTAACATTACAACTGTAAGCGAGTTTGCAAAGGATTGTAGGTAAATGAAATGTATATGTATGTTAACCGAAAACGTTTGTAATATGGACCCAAAATGTGCCACGAGGGGAGGGAGAGGGCGCACACTGAGTAGTTTAGAATAATAATGAATCATAACACGTCGTCAATAATATTTCATGATTGTGTTGTTTTGTTCACAGAAAACTGGACTTCAACAAACTGACCCAGATACCTCAGTTCCCGCTGCCACTGGGCATCAGCGAGTTGACGCTGTAAGTACTGTTTAGTGACTTGGTGTCTCTCCTGTTTTTACGTGGTGTCTATTAAAATGTACGTTCATTTTATTGCAAGACCGCGTTGCTCTAGCCTTGGTGTGCTTCCGGCATGTTTACCATCTGTAGTTTTTTTTACTTTCAAATCTGTTATATATATAACATTTCTAACTTTCTTATCATGAAGTGGGCATGGGGTTTATACGAAGAATGTAGATTATAGCAAACAGCCACACACACTAGTCAGGTGCTATTTGTAAAGCTTGCAAAAAAAGTGATTTTAACACTTTATCCCCTCTTGCATAATTTATTGATGTCACTTGTGTGTGGGTTCATTTCGGCATTCAGGATTTATTGCTGGCAGGGCTCCCCAGTGCCAGGCTTGTAGTCTTCCTGTTAGGCCACAGTTGAACCCTGGTTGTAAATTTTGCGTGGGCAGGCCTGAAAGTAAGAGCTTTGTTGCAGGGAATTTACTTTACATGTGTAAATTGTCTGACCTGTATGACCCCGTTTGCAGCGCTAATGGTATGGGAACGGTTGGCATCCAGCATGAGGTGTTGCTCATTAAAAAATGAGATTTGTCAAGTGTTACATTCCTGGCAGAGTGGTCAAATCGTTTGCCTTGCGCTGTGACGGTCGTAAGTTCGTTTCAGGGGTGTTTCGTTCGTTTCACGGGTGCAGTTTTTGTGGAGACCCCTGGGTACCGTCGCCGGAGCTACCATGTTTATGCTTTGTACCACGCTTTCTGCAGACGACTAGCTGTTCTGCGGAACCATATGGGATAAAACCTGCTGCAGTGATGTTGATCCGCTCAGCTTTAACCTCGGACATATAAAAGCCATGATCACTCCACTGGTGCAGCCGTCGTATGTTGTAATACCAGTATTGTTATGGAAGAAATGCCTTAGAAGAGCTGCAGGAGTTTCAAGGAAAGACAGAATACGAAATCATGAAATCAGACGAATGCTAGGAATAAAGCCAGTCTTACAGGTCATCAAAGAACAACAAATAAAGTGGTTTGGACACATAACAAGAATGCCCTGGTACTATCGGCCACAGCGAGCCATACTAAAACGTTACAACGGGTATAGAGCGAGTGGAAGACCTCGGAAATATGGAGTGATAGTATTAAGAACAGCCTTACAGAAATGAACATCAGTCTTAATAGTGCTCCTGACTGAGCTCATCAACGAACATTACATCCCCCCCCCCTCCCCTCCCCGACACTTCGATGAGGTAAAAGGTGGAAGAGAAGAAGAAGAAGAAGAGAAGTTATGGATGAATCAGCACTCGATAGCTGGTGTGGTCCGCATTACACTGCCCACTTTTACTGTCCATGACATTTGTCCATTATTCCGTGCCTATTCACATGAGCAGAGTTTTGAAACCTCAATCTTTAATTTCTGGTTAATTGTGCTAGGGGTGTGTTGTACATGAGCTTATTAAAGTGTCATTTGTTCATCATCACGTTGACCACTATAGAACTCAGAATATTTTGTGCAGTTGATATTTTGAGACTGTCTGAAGTGTGGGGGCAGAGTCGCATTGCCGTTGACACAAGTTCTTCGTCTGGAAGTGACATTGAAACTATACACATGTTTGTGACCATGACCAATGTACCGTTATTTTACATAGGCATCACATCCCTTTATTCCGTTCTATCATGTGCAGTCACGTCAGTGTCATAGATGGAATTCAATACATCAACTTTGGCCTTTCTCAACAACATTCTCTTAGGGTATTTTTGGAGGATCCTCGTTTCTTCAGTCCGTTTGTTTCCCATTTCATTGCCTGTTCGGTGATAGTCTGCTTGCCTCTTCTCATTGATGTGCCTAATATGGGAGATTTGGGGCATTTTTTTTAAATCATATAGCAGGTGATGCCAGTGTTTATCCGTTTCTTATATTCGCCTTTCTTAAATTAATCTCGTATAATGAACGTTCCTCACTTGATAAAGTGGTCAGTTTGTGACTTGCATAAAGTGATTTCAAAATGCAGCATGCGGCTCAAACGGGTATGAACTTGGTATGATTTAGCTACAGAAATTAGACACAGACAACGAGGCAGCTGATCGACTTGCTAAGCTGGCAGATTTCTACAACACAATGATTTAAGCATAGCTTTTGAGACAGCAAGCACTTCTAGAAAAGATTCGTTCACGACTTCAGGGACAAAAGACCACCCTGTTTGCATGAATAATGCTGCTTATCATCGGCTTTCAATACCAGGCCGTAATTTTTCCATTATGGACAGGAGACAACAGGCTCTGTTATATATCTGTATTATAGGTTGGAGATTGGTTTGTTGGGTCTCTATCTAGTTCGTTCGATCTTTTTTCTCCCTCTCACCATTTGAGCTCTCTCTCTCTCTCTCTCTCTCTCTCTCTCTCTCTCTCTCTCTCTCTCTCTCTCTCTCTCTCTCTCTCTCTCTCTATGGGTATCCCCTCGCTCTCTTTATGTGTGTATGCGTTTTCCATCACCACCACCACCACATACATACAGGATCTTATAACACAATAAAGAGGAACAGTTAGTTGTCATATGTATTATATGCAGCGCCAAGTGGCTGTTTGTAGGACCCAGAGTATTTATGAACCGACACACAAACAGGCTCACATTTAGGAGCTCGTAAATTAATCTCGGCCTACCTACCCTAGCACTTCTAATTACTGACACGGGACTATATAGGCACGTCTTACCGGGTACTTAGCGCCAGAAGCATCAGTAGCGACACTTATTGAGAGCTGCTGTAAAGTCATAAACACCTTCATGGAGTGTGTTTATCCTCGGTGTCGGGCGATTGAAGCCTTGGGTGGTCGGGTGGTAGCATATTTACTGTTACACCTGGAGATTGCGGGTGTAATCACGGGTGGGGGTTGGGAGATTTCTATCCACTTTCTGTCCTCCCAAGGTTTCCATGTGGGTTCCGGGGCCCTGGTGGTGGGAGGGGGCAACACGAATCGACCTACTGCCTCCCCAACAAGCATGTCGTAGCTGCACACACATCAGTAGTAAAACAGATTTACACGCAAAACTCAGGCCCTGGCACAAAGCCAAAGTTCAAATGGACGACACAAGCAGGACTTCCGCCCATCGTCCGGCTGGTCAGCAAAGAAACAGAAGTCTCACTCAACTCATCCATCTTTTGTTAAGATCTCTCTCATTATGTACCGTTCTTAACTGTCTGTCCCCTGTCACGTAATTACGTTATCGTACTCTGCCTCATTTGTTGCTTTGTGTCATTCTTCCTCATAATGTTATTTTATCTGCTTCAGTGACAAGCATTTAGTTCAAATAAATTATCATAAATTGGGGGTGAATTAAAATTTAAGCACCTTTATTTCTTTGCACGTATTTCGAGTGCAGCCGATGCTTTTCGAGCGAATCTTGACTTTCACGAGCTTGTATAAATGTGGCAAACACAGAGCAGAAGCAGCCATTTTCTGTCTCGGCCTGCAGGCGTTTTCTGACTTCATAACATCGGTGTGAAATGTCACCGCATGGAGAGGAGTGAGATGAAACAGTCCTGCTTGGCGCTGCAGCAGCATGCTTTTCCAAGTGTCTTGTGTACAGGAGATGGGTTTCATCTGAGATGCCACTTGTGATATTGTTGCTGTCTTGGCGAATAAGGGTGTCTGCTTATATTGGGGTTGTCATCGGGTATTATGTTGTCTTCTTCGCATATTGTGCTGTCATGGTGGGTAGTGGGATGGTTTCCTGTCTTGTGGGTTGTTTTTGAGGATACAAGTTCGAGTCTCGAATGCCTCCCTCCTGGAACAGTTTGATTCCTAAACAAATTTGTGGAAGGCGGAGCCAGATAGTGGGTAACCTAATTGGGGTGGGGGGGGGGGGGTCCATAAATTACTTCACGTTGTGTGTATTAGGGGGGGGGGGTGTGGCAGAATATTAGCTTACACTGTGGGAGGAGCATATAATAGGAGAAACTTGGTGGGGGGGGGGGCAGAATATTGATTTACCCTGTGTGTGGAATGGGGCATTTAAATGGGGAACGCCTGTCTTGAATTTTGTGTACATGTGGTTACGTAATCGGTTGTGCCCAGTTCTAAGGCGGAGGGTACTGACTTGTTCTGATCTGTCCATAATAAAATAATCGTCTTGTGCTGGGGCTGGTTTTTTCTTGGTCGATTTAATTGTCCTTTTCTTTACTGACGTATTTAAAGCCGCTCCTACATCCCTAGAAAATTTTTAATGTCTCAGTTGCCCCCATGTCGGTGCACATCATCTTGGGGTACATTTTGTTACAGGCACTATTAAATTGTCTGGTGCCCAAGCTCATTTGATGATTTATAGATTCTCGAGTGCAATCCAGGGGTGTGGAAAGTGTCAGGTTTATGAGGTTAGTGATTGGCGAAAGAGGCTGATAAATATTAGAAGGTGTACAGGCCTCGTTTGTAGGCTGTGATCGCCTGGTACCTGGGAGCTCTGTGACCTTGCTACGGTTAGGTTTGTTTGTTTGAATATCCAGAAGCCATGAGTTGTTAACTCTTAAGCTCGGTATTATGGATATCGCAACCTTTCGGCCTTGATTCCATTGTAAATACCGTAAATCTGGGATAAATGTGGCTTTTCTGCCTACCCCCGGGAGTGAACCCGGACCACAGAGAGTTCGTCACCCGCTCACCGCGCAATCCGGTTTAGCCAACTACGCTAGAGAGCCGGGCCTACGGTTAGGTAAAAACTAGATAGAAGCCTTTTCCCGCCTGAACCCCCTCCCCCAAACTCATGTTTCCACGTCATGCCCTTGTTATCATATCACATCTCATAAACCCTTTTGGCACATGATTCATACTTCTATGACATATCATCATCGTCATCAGCATTAGGTTCTTCTTAATTATAACCCTTAATCTTTCTATCTTAAATTGTTGTCATCATCAGGTGTCTTGCATGTTCCCATGGCTGGTCATGATTTTCACATCTCGTGATTATGTTTTATTTTCCAGTTTTTATTTGCAGTTCTTTTTTGATGTAAGAAGCTGTTTATTTAATAATAATTATTATTATTATATAAATGTTTCATTTGTGTTTATCAGCGATGTTGTGAATCTAGTTGTCCCACCTCAGATCTCATAACTATGTTGTGAATCCATTTGTCCTTCCTCAGATCTCATAACCCTGTTGTAAATCCATTTGTCCCTTTTCAGATCTCATAACCATGTTGTGAATCTATTTGTCTCTCCACAAATCTCATAACCATGATGTGAATCCATTTGTACCTCCTAGATCTCATATCCCTGTTGTAAATCCATTTGTCCCTTTTCAGATCTCATAACCATGTTGTGAATCTATTTGTCTCTCCACAAATCTCATAACCATGATGTGAATCCATTTGTACCTCCACAGATCTCATAACCATGTTGTAAAGCCATTTGTCCCTCCACAGATCTCATAACCATGTTGTAAATCCATTTGTCTTTCCACAGATCTCATAACCATGTTGTAAATCCATTTGTCCCTCCACAGATCTCATAACCATGTTGTAAATCCATTTGTTCCTCCACAGATCTCATAACCATGTTGTAAACCCATTTGTCCCTCCACAGATCTCATAACCATGTTGTGACCATTCCAATGCCAGTGATGCTGCAGATGCCAGAGCTGCTGACCATGGACGTTAGTAACAACTACATACTGAGCATCACCAATGGCAGTTTCCCTGCAGGATCCAAGCTGACTCATCTGTAAGTGCTTCTTCACATTCACCGACTGTAAACTGCGGCAGAATGTTCTAGGTGTTCGTCCACCCCTGGGCTTTAGTATTTTTCCAGAACATGAGTGTTGCATGCACATCTGTTTCACATATCTTGCCTGTTTGTATGCAGACTCTTAGTTACTTTTTTTCTGGGCAGATGTATTCCAACTTTAAAGAATGTCTCTCCCCTCCCTCCCCCCCCCCCCCCCCCCCCCCCCAATTAGTTGACTCCTGCGACATGCTTGTTTGGGATGCAGTGGGCCTGTTTTTGTTTTTCTTATAGTGGGGACCTGGAACCTACACTGTGACGGTGAAAAGATATCAGTTTGAAAGGGTAAGCCTGATTTGTAGAATGGATATGCAGGCAAAATACAAGCCCTGGTTAAAAAAAAAAAAAGTCTGTCAGTGGAAGGGCAACCAAGACTTTCACTTGAACACAGAGAAGAAGAAATGTATAAGTACTTCATAGTTATCAAAAAAAATTTTTTTTTGTGACAGTTCCAGTTAAAAATATTCACTTCATTGCACTGAATAATCTTATATGGATTGGTGTGTCTGCATCACATGAAGTACGAACTTCAGAGCTCTAGCATTGATTCCCAGAAGATCTCTGTAAATCTCTGGCCATGATTGTTTTAAATTGAAGAGGTCTGTTGTCATTATCTTCTTAATTTTTTAATCTAAATTAATGTTTGGCTACTTTTGTTTCTTTGTGTAGACATGAACCATATTTAAACAATATTAAGGCATATATGGTTCTGAAATATTAACAATAACTGAACATGATGAAATATTTATAGAGGCTTTATTAGTGTGGTTTTGCTGAAAAATGGCGAGAGCCAATTGGATTGAAATGTAACAAATAAACAAGATGTGGAACATGCGGTAGGACACAGGACAAACATTGTGTTTCTTCATACCTTAGGATAGGACAAGCCATCAAAATTTTAATTAAAGAAAAAAAAATATATGTTTTCAAAACAAAGACAGTTTTGATGGCTTGTCACAACCTGAGGTGTGAAGAAACAGAATGTTTGCCTTGTGGCATGTTCCATATTTTGTATGGTCTTCCCAAGGATATGTTACATTTCTACGGCATATTTCTCATGGCAGTTGATACCAGGGCATTCACATGAGATGGCCAAACCATCCCATCTGAATTGTATGACTGTCTCAAAATATCCTAGTAATAATATGTTCAGGAAGTAGCTAGCAGTTGCCTAATATTTCTGTCTACTTTGACTCTCATTTTGCAGAATTTTGAACAGCAATCAGATTTCTGTTATTGAGCAAGGCAGCATGGGTAATCTGACGTTCCTGGAGACACTAAAGTTGAACAAGAACAAACTGACAGAGTTGCCGCAGCTTGTCTTTAACCATCTCAACAGTTTGAAGACTTTGTAAGTGAATGTTTGACTGTTGTTTGATATAGCTTTCTTCTTCTTCTTCTTCTCCTGCTTCTGATGTTGAGGGAGATGCAAGGTTCTGTTTTTCAATGCTCTGGCCTAATTGCCCATAGATGCTTGATACTCTTGTAGAGTTTCTACAACATCCTTCCAACTTGTCATATGTCTACCCCAGGCTCTGTATCCTTCTAGAGTGTAATATCCCTTGTATTGTATGTATTAAAGGACAGTCCCTTAAAAGTTTTTAAATCCAAAGTGATTCAAAAAAGAACTATGGGACAAAAGGAATTAAAGTAATATTTGAGATCTTCTTCCTCACTTCCTCTTTTACCGCTGTGGGTGTCGAGGGAGATATAAGGTTCTGTTTCTAACTCTTCTGGCCGCCTCGACCATTGGCACATCATGCTGTTGTAGAGTTTCTCTGATGTTGTCCTTCCAACTTATTCTTGATCTACCTCGTGCTCTACGTCCTTCTTCTCTTTCCATGTATGCTTTGTATGGTATGGTGTCATAAGGCATTCTCTCTAAGTGGGCAAACCATTTCACTTGCTGTCTTCGTATGTAATTTAGAATTGGTTCTGTGCCGACTTTTTCTCTTATGAACTCATTCCTGATCTTATCTCTTATTTGAGATAAAATGTATTATTATAATATAACAGCTGCAGGAGAAGAAAACACTTAGAGAAGCATACCATATACGGAGTAAATGAACAATGTGTTAATTGGTGCTAAATTATTTAAGTTCAGACGTTGAAGAAGTCAAATAAAAAAAAACTGTTCTGACATGGGAGTGCTGGGTATTTATATATAACAAATTTGCCAAGAAAGGAGTTCAAACCCAACACCCTTGGGGCGGCAGGCAAGCTACCACAACTCCCCACATTTGTGTAACCAGTGTGCTACAGGAATGGTTAGCATCGACGCCTCAAGACATTGGCTGCAGGCGACAGAGTATCTGAGGGTGTGCCATGTGGGCTGTGTTGTTGATTCTATAATCAGCAATTTACCAGAGCTGCTAGAGTGCTTGGCTAGTGTATTGTCCTTCTGTGCTCACTCTTCAAGGAGCAGTTGGCATGTTGTGTTAAGGTTTACCACAAATATTTCAGCTAATTCCTAATAGTCGACTTTCATAACATCCTTGTTACGAGGCAGTGCCCCCCCCCCCCCCCCCCCCCCCACCTCCCCGTCCCAGTCCTCAAATGAGGCCGAGAACCTTTACAGGGAGCTGCAGTATAAATGTACTCACTTTACTTCAACTCCCCTTCCTCTCATAACTTCCCTATAGTTTCAGTTTCTGTGAGGATTACCACCTGTATCTTTTGATTTGTTGTTGCAGAGATATCATGCGCAACAGGATCAGAAGCATCAAGAGCCTGACCTTCCAGGGATTGAGTAAACTGCAGGTGTTAAAACTTCAGAGGAACAGCATTGCCGTCCTGAAGGATGGGGCCTTTTGGGGTCTGCCCAGTCTGATCAGTTTGTGAGTATTGTTTCCTTTTTTTTTTTCTCTCATCTGTGTTTGTTTGTTGTCATTGTTTAAATATGAGCGTTAATGGATTTCATAAAGAGAAGACATGGGATGGGGTAGGCAGAGGGATAGACGGAGTAAGAGAAAGAAGTTAAAAAAAAACAGGATGGAAAGGAAGAGGTTTAGAGAAAGACGCTGGAATATGATGGGAAAGAGCAAAATGATCATAGGAGAATGAGAAATAAAACAAGTGAAGTCCTAGGATAAGCACTGGGAAGGCAGAGGAAAGAGGAAGATGGGAAAGACATGGAAAGGGGGGGGGGGGGGGGAGTTGAAAGAATAATTAAGTGGGAATATCAAGAGTAAGGAAGAAAGAAACATGCAAGAAAAAGACAAGAAAGGTAGGTCTGGGAAGGAAAGGGAGAGGATGTTGTGTCTGGTTCTTATTAAATTATCATTAGCAGTTTTAAATTTGTTAACACCTGAGATTTGTTAACACTTTCAGATGAGGTCAGACATGTGTTAATTATATTATGATTTTGTTTTGCAGGCAGATGGATCATAACAAAATTGTCAATGTGACCCAGGCATGGCTGTTTGGATTGAAAATGTTGAAAACGCTGTAAGTACACATTCTGTTTTACCTGCACTGCCTTTATTTATTGCTCGTTATTGATTTAACCAGTATTGTGTTTATGATCTAATCTGGTTTAACCTTTCTTTTGATGTGTGAACTTTGTATTTTTAAATCTGGTCTGTTTGTTCAGTTGGATATTAAACATCATTAACAGCTTTCGGCACAACATCAAAAATCTAAACTAAGTTTGAGAACTTGTGTATTTCCTGTGGCAACAACATACAGATGTGCGATATGGATTGTTCTGCAATCAGAAAAAGAAAATTGGGCTTTTGGACTGAGAGTGTCCCTGTCATGTGGATTATCACACAGCCCCACTGAAGGAAACGACTCACATTTGTCGTGTTTAGGGACTGAAATAGTTCATGAACGGGTGTGATTTGTAGTAGACCAGTCTCATTGATGGGCTTAGAAGTGTGTTCTATTTAGCTTCCTTTATCTGCTGCACGGTTGATGGTGTCTGCACTTATGATGCAGCCTGAGGATCTCTGTCTGTCTGTCTGTCTGTCTGTGAAAGTCTGTCTGTCTCAATCTCTCTCTCCTGTCGCCCCTCCCTTTCCAGTCATACACTACCCTGAAGGTAATAAATATAGGTTCTTAGGACACTTTCCTTCAATTGTCAGATGGATTATGTGAAAACACGGCACTTTCTGTGTGTTTGTATCATGTATGAATTAGCTTCTTATGTATATATATATTTTATTTGGTGTAGCCAATGCGTGTTATTTATTGTTTACTATTCATCAAAAACACTTTCTCCATCCTTCTATCAGCCATTTGTGTTTCTGAAATCCTTCTTATTGTACCTTCCTTGTGGCCATTTATCTTCATATTTCTAACGAATAACCCTGTCTGGTTAATTCTTTTACATCACTGAAGGTGCTGTGTAACTTTTCTGTTTTTTGCTGTTATCATGTGTTTGTTTTTGTGTAAAACATAGGGTACACTTTTCTGAATAGCATCTAAGAAATTTACTGCCTCCTGGTACCTTAACATGTTCTCTTGTAGCATATCTGAAATTCCTAATTTCTGTGTAATGTATAGAAGTCTGTATGTTTATTATAGCGTAATCCATGACTGTGTAACTAAGTTTACTCGTGGACCAACGTGACTCAAATTGGGGTTGTTATGGGGCAGAGACCTTAGCCCCACCCAGTGCAGAAAGATAAGGTTGTTTCATTGTTTTTCCATCGATCCGCGGAGCACTTGCTTGAATTCTGAAGGCCTCCAGTTGGAAAATCTTGGGGTAACTTATGATGTACCTAAGTCTCATCATTGACTATTCTTCAATATTTGTTACGCTGTCTCATTTTTAGATCGCTGTCTCATAACAAAATCAACAGGATTGAAAATGGAGCATGGGAGCCCTGTAAACACCTGTTAAAATTGTAAGTAATTGTACAGTTTGTTGTGTAAGAAGCTGTTAGTTCAGTGTACACTTTTCTTTGTGGATGATTAAGTTTGGTTTAAAAAAAAAATTAAGTAAAGGGCCTTTTCACACGCCTTTAGGTGTGTAGGGCATATAGGGCTAGACCTATATTTTTATAGACCAATCGGCACAAGATGGGTAATGTGGTCATCATCATGCTGGCCGCCTTTACTAGCCAGGACTGCACCTGGTACCCACTCAAGGCTGGGTCGACCTGGGAGCCAAGGTCATTTTTGAATAGAGTCCGGCTCCGCCAGGGAGCAAACCCACGACCTTCCGATCCGCAGGTGAGCGTCTTGCCGCTATGCCACGGCGACTCCAAGTATATGAAAGGTATTCCATGTTGTCTGTTAGTTCTACAGCATCTAGACATGTACAAACATTCTTCTTTTCATGACTGTACTCAAGGATGGTGTCTGTATCTTCAGCGTTGCGAACATGCTTCTTCTGCCGGGTTCCATCCCAGCTGCAGGAAGTATGGCAGCAGAAACGTCTTGTGTTGGTTTCGAGAGCTGACCGTTCGGTAAACACTGGCAAACTTCTGAATGTAACATTTGCTTAGGAAAACCCCAACAGGCGAAAACTGCTGAGTTGGTTCTGCAACGTCCTGTAAAGGATATGCAGCTAGCTTTAACTCAGGGACGCCAAACATTTAATCACTGCTTAGTGGTAATGATAATAATTGTTATTGTTTGCTTAATGGCAGATAAATATAATTATATATCTGAAGTAGTATGAAATGTAGGGAAAACAAAACTTAAAAGAGATGGGCTTGTACAGGATTAAGGGGATCACTTCACTTTAGTACACATCTTCAAGGAAAGGGATTGAGCCTTCTCACACCCATATGGGGTTTTCGAGGGTGGGGGCTGAAGGTGAACCCCCTCCACCAACAGGATCGGCTGTGTCTTCTCACAGGCAAGCATTATATGGAACTGTCACTTCCTCAACTACCTCAGTATGCCTTAGATGCCATGTATCATTCACAAGGCAACAATTAGTCTCGCCATTTGACGTCTGCTTAAAAAAAAAATTTCCAGCATCCCTAGCAGCGCCGCCTGGCGATGAACTCTTGGCGGGGGTCAGTGTTGCCACTTTTCTTTGACAAAAAACGTCTAAAACGGAGTTTAAAAATATCTAAAAACATCTAAATTTGCGTGGGAAAACATCTAGAAAAACATCCAAATAGAAAGAGTCACAAATTACATAGCAATTGATATGACTTACCCTATAGAATCATGTCCTCATCTTTACTGAAGTCTGCCTTACAAGATCCACAGGATAAACTTAGCTTGGATGATGAAGTTGAAGCTTCAGATCAAAATGACTCTGGTAAGCTTTAGCTGTTCCAATTAATTTTTAATACACAATCAGGGAGCTGATAAGTGGAACAGCATTTTCCTACTATTATCAAGCCAAAATTTATTGTCAAGATAGCATTTAAGAGGTCAAATTTTATCCTGTTTCTTAGGTTAGATTTACAAATTCACTCCAGATGGAAAACATGTAGAAAAACATATACCATCTAAACGTAAAAAAACCCATCTAAATGCAAGGTGAACATCTAAATCTGGATGTAAAATATCCAAAGTGGCAACACTGGCGGGGCAGCTTGAACTAAAATTTCATCGCGCCACCTTCTGCCAGGTGTTCTCTGACCCTCAGGTTTCAGGAGCTGGCAAGTCTGGCTTTGGGTGATACGTCCGGGCATGATGTGATTTCCAAGTGCTAAGTGGATGCTTCTCTCTCTCTCTCTCTCTCTCTCTCTCTCTCTCTCTCTCTCTCTCTCTCTCTCTCTCTCTCTCTCTCTCTCTCTCTCTCTCTCTCTCTCTCTCCCTCTCCCTCTCTCTCTTTCTCTCTCTTTCTCTCTCTCTCTCCCTATCTGTCAGAGAGAGAGAGAGAGAGAAGGGCGGGTGCGATCCATACAGTCACACTAAAAAAGGGAGTTTAAAGACGACAGGCATTACTACAGGGCAGGGCAGGATCAACTTCGTTAGGCGCAGACACAGCGAAAACTGGGTGGGGTGGTCCTATAGTTCATTATCTTCTTGATCGCCTTTACTTTCCAGGACTTTACCTGGTACCCATTTAAGTCTAGATCGACATGGCAGCAAGTGCCACTTTTTTAAGGAAAAAAAAGTTTTGCTATGTCATCTGTAGCTGCAGAATACTTTTGTATTTCGCTGACAGTTATTAACAGGCGTGGGTCATAAACAGTACGTGGTGAGTTTACATTTGGATTTGACTGAGTTTGCTGACACCATGATACCCTGTATGACACATTTGAGATATCGTATCAAGTAACGGTTTGCCAAACCTGATCGGTTAATATGTTCTTTTGCGGTAGGGGGGAAAGCGATGAGTCGTTTTAATTTCACGCATGACTGCCAACGGAGAGGAAACTTGGCAGTGTCGTGTTGATTAATTGTCTCTTTTAAATTGTGGATTACACAACTTATGTCGGTCTAATTGTGTTAGATGTGCGTGCGGTCTGCCTGCATGGATACGTGCAGCCGCACAGGGCGATTGGTTCTGTCAGATAATGCATTCTTGAACGGTTGTGTTTGAGCGGTCGTCACATTTGGTTGTGGGCACGGATGTGGGCGGTATGCGGGAGATTGGGTGATCGGAGACGCTGATGGATACAACTGGACGTGATGATGCTACAGCTGGGCATTTATAGCCAGGCTGGCCAGCATAGAAGGGGTGAGTGGAGGAAGGGAGGGAGAGAGATAAGCATTGTGTGTGTGTGTGGAGGGGGGGGGGGTGCGAGAAGGAGTAGCTAAAGAGGCCGTGGATACAACTGGACAAGACAATGCGAAAGCTGGGCACTTGAAGACGTATTCAGCATAGAAGGGGTTAGAGGAGGGAGGAAGAGAGAGAGAGAGAGAGAGAGAGAGAGAGAGAGAGAGAGAGAGAGAGAGAGAGAGAGAGAGAGATGAGCGTTGTGTGTGTGGGAGGGGAATGCGAGAAGGAGTAGCTAAAGAGGCCGTGGATACAACTGGGCGTGATAATGCGAAAGCTGGGAACTTGGGAGACTTATTAAGCTTAGAAGGGGTTAGGGGAGGGAGGAAGGGAGAGAGAGAGATGAGCATTGTGTGTGGGAGGGGAAGGGGGTGAATGCGAGGAGTAACTAAAGAGACCATGGATACAACTGGGCGTGATGATGCCACAGCTGAGCATTTTGAGACGTGTTTAGCATAGACAATGTAAGGGGTTAGGTAAGGGAGGGGAGTGAGAGAGAAATATACCATATAAAGCAACTAAGAAACGAATGAGCAATGTCTTTGTAACTCTGTTTCTCCCATTCGTTTCATGATCTTGTCCATGCGACTCTCTCCGTTCCTTAACCGGGAAACGCATGATCTCGTCTGTCGCTCTCTATTCCATGTCCAGATTTTTTATCCAAGAAACGAATTATCTTGTCCCCGACTTCCTCATTCGTTAGCAAACAGCCCCCTCCCCTCTTTGTGTTATTTCTTTTAACAAGAACAGCCGTTTCTTGTTGCATCGTTGTTTTTATTTTAAGCTCTCCGCCCCCCCCCCTTTTTTTCATCCTAATTGAGATTTCGACGTCTTCTTCAAGTCGATGACCCGTGCCGTTGGCAGTCAAGTTGCTTTAGCCGCAGATTGTCTCAAGTACTTTCTGCTATCTTTTTTGACAATAATGTGTTTCCATGCCACCATGTCAGACTGTCCAGCACATTCTCTGTCGGTCTCTATCTTCCTCCTTTCCCGTCTATCTTTATTTTGATGCACTCCAGTGTTCACCTCATGGCGCCACCAAGGCATGTACATTACGAACATTCTATTTCCCCTTCCACCCGTTACCCCTATGCGTTTATTCAGGGTATATTTATGATTCTTTCCCCCATTCACACTGTAAACTCCGGCGGAAAGTACTGGCTGTTCGTCCATCTGGACTTTGGCTTTTTGCCCAGGGCCTCAATCTTGCGTGTACATACATTTTACTGGCTTTTTCTTGTGCAGTTGGTTGTTCCTTGCCGCTTGGGCAGACACACTTCGAAGGAAGTGCGTAGTTAGTCGACTCCTACGACATGCTTGTTGGGGGAACAGTCTGTTTGTTTTTGTTTTTCCCACAAAGGGGGCCCCGGAACGCCACACGGGGATATTTCTGATTCAGTGTAGTACAACCTCGGTGACATAATTTTCATCTGATCCACCTGTTTGTGTTCCAAAGATGACCCACTCCGCACGTTGCCAGTCTTACGCATACGCCAGCCACCGATTACCTACTGGGTAGCCCCAGTCACACTCTTCAGATATTGAGACCCTGTGCACGCTAGACGTCTATTTTGCAGAATTCCTGATATGCCTCGTGTTTTTCACGCTTCTTAGACGGCGCAAATTCCGCTATTGTGCGAGAGGCGCCAGTCCCGAGTCGCTCTTCGTGTGGACTCCCGCAGAGCCGGATTTCAGAGCTTTGACGGAGGCGGGGCGATAGGCGCCCGTGGTTGTCATAGTCGACTTTCAACGCCAACTCAGTAAAGTGTTCCCAATTGTTTGACTCAAGCTTTTATTGCTCCGTTAATATTTCTTTCCCGCAGGCCTAGGTCGACGCAGACAAGATACCTTATTGGCATACCTATTTTGACACACACAAAATATGAAAGATTCTATAAGGTTAAATTTGGCGTTGCGTTTGGTGTGGGGAAAGTAACGCCTTTTGTTTGAGACACTGTACCAAACGGGATTCGTTGCGTGGAAATATCTTAGAAAAAAAGAGGGGGGGGGGGGGCCTGCCATACCCTCGCGTGTACCTCAGGGATAAATTTACGATTACATACTGATATACCCAGGTGATTCTGGAAGGTAACATACTCACGAGTGAACATCGGTGATTGTTGAGGGTAACATACGAGTGAACCTCTGTAATTGTTGAGGGTAACATACTCACGAGTGAACCTCGGTGATTGTTGAGGGTAACATACTCACGAG